GATTTTGCGCTGTCTAGGTTTAGTAAATAACCCCCACTGTGACAAGATGTAAAACCGGTAGTGTAAGATGGCTTCAGCGCTGCTCCCCACCCGCAGGAGAGGTCCCTTAAATGCATTTTGCCACCTAGTGGACTTAATCCTTTGAGGACCGTAAGATTTTGGAACGCCAAAAGAATACATTTTTTTGTTTTTAAAGTTTGTACACTTCAGTTGCTGTAACTAAGCCATTTCATGAAATAATTGGCAAAAAGCTAGATCCATTTGTTGTTTGTTGATAACTAATATTTTGACTCAAACCAAAAAAAAAAAAAAAGAGTTTTAAGTTCTTAATCAGATGATACACGCAATTAAAAACATGGGACAAATACGTCCCTTGGTCCTCAAAGGGTTAACCATTGAGGCCTTTAGTTTTGGTCGGAGTAAGTCGGCATCCTATATCGGCTGACGTTTTTCTGTAGCACATTGTAGCCTGACAAGCTTAGTTTTATACGATCTGCACCAGTTCATTAAATGTCATGTTGGCTGATATCAGCATTAGAGCGCCCCCCTTTTTTCTTTTTTTCTTTTTTTTCTCTGTCTACATGTACTAAAGTCTTGCATTTGTTTTTGTGCTACCTTGCACCAGAGTCAGCACACTTTTCCCAGTGCTACTTAGAATAACACACACAGACCCATCTTATTCTGAATGTGAACAGTGAAAAGCAACCTAAATGCTTACCTTTCTCTAAAGAAGCTGTTCCTGAGTCCGTTGATGGTCTTGTGGCCAGATGCAAGGCATTGGTCCCATGATTTTAGCAATACAGGAGAACAACTGTTCAAGGAAGGTGTTAAGGTGGAGCTTCCTTGCACAAAGTGAACCTGTCATTAGAGAAACATAGAGGCTGCCGTTGGTGAATGTTTTTCTTCTGAAAAACATAGAGGGCATTAAAGCCAGCAAGTAAGCATAACACTAGGCCAGGGGTAGGCAACCTGCGGCTCTCTAGCTGTTGTGGAACTACATTTCCCATGAGGCATTGCAAAGATTACAAAACTGGCAGTTACAGCTATGACTTGCAGAGGCATGATGGACCTTGTAGTCCTGCGGCTCTCAGGTTGCCTACCCCTGCACTAGGCAATTCGTGTTTTCAGGAAGAGGTTAACGATGGCAGCTCCTGCATTTTTTTTAGGAAGGAAGTACTTTAAACTTTGCATTGCGTTTACAAATGCCAGCCTTAGAATAGAAGTTATACAGGAGCATAATGTAGTTCTAGTAAGTTGGGTGGCATATTGTTTACTGAACGTATTGAAATTTTATATACTAAGTATTTAGTACAAAGTGAATCAAAGAACACCCAAATCTACCTATGTACTTGTTTAAAGTAACCTTGTTGCTGGGTGGGGGTTATATGCTGCCATGAAGAGCTCCCGGTGCTGTTGATGTCCAACACTTCTGAAGGTGTTGGATAGCATTTTCCCTGCTGAGCACAGAAGACCTTTTGCAGGTCTCTCCTTCACTAAGGGGCCCAGTGGGGGTTTAGGGAGTCAGCAGCAGGGACCACAGCTCCTAGCAAAGGATGCAAGACCACACACCTGGAAGTGTCAGTTGGCAGAAGCATCTTGAGACACACGCACACTTCCTTTTGCAGGTCTCTCCCTCACTAAGGGGCTCAGTAAGGGTGTAGGGGTCAGCAGCAGGGACCACCGCTTCTAGCAAAGGATGCAAGACCACACACCTGGAAGTGTCAGTTGTCAGTAGCATCTTAAGATACACACATTTCCTTTTGCAGGTCTATCCTTCACTAAGGGGCTCAGTAGGAGTCAGCAGCAGGGACCACAGATCCTAGCAAAGGATGCAAGACCACACACCTGGAAGTGTCAGTTGGCAGTAGCATCTTGAGACACACACACAGTTGGCAGTTCCTTTTGCAGGTCTATCCTTCACTAAGGGGCTCAGTAGGGGTTCAGCAGCAGGGACCACAGCTCCTAGCAAAGGATGCAAGACCAGACACACCTGGAAGTGTCAGTTGGCAGTAGCATCTTGAGACACACACACTTCCTTTTTGCAGGTCTCTCCTTCACTAAGGGGCTCAGTAGGGGTGTAGGTATCAGCAGTAGGGACCACAGCTCCAAGGACACCCCTGGAAGTGTCAGTTGGCAGTAGCATCACACACACCCGCAAGCACGCACACACACACACACACGTGCACACACACACACACACGGGTTACTGTAACTGACTTGGCTAGATGAGAAGCAGAAGGACTGTGCTGTTTGCACTTTAATATGAATGAGTATATATTTGTTGATCCTTGTAAAACAAATACATCCAATGTAATTTAATATACTGTTATAAAATATGAAACCGTTTAGGGGGATGCTTATTTTGTATAATAACTCTATGCAGCCTACTATTCATGAAAAAAGTTACCTAGATAACCTACTACACAACTTCATTTGTGTATGCAGTTGTCACAACAATAGCTGTTTATGCCTTGTAGAAAAGGGCTTCAGTTTGTGTGTACAGCCTTTAAAGCACCCTTCAGCTCAACATGTTTTAAATAGTGGTTCTGATGGAATAAGCCCCCCCCCATTAAAAAAAAAAAAAAAAACGTAGTGCAGCACTTAAAGGTGGACTTAACAGTATTTGAGCACCACAAACTGAAAATACTATTTCCTTTATTTTTACTATTCAAAGCAAACCCCCATGTCTCCATGCTTTATTTTGTTGAGAAATCACCTTGAAAACCACCCCCCTAGCAATTACTAGACATGGCCGTCTTGAGTAAGGGCAGATGATTCTTGTAGCATTTACGTCCTGAAATCCATCTGCCCTTAGCGCAAGCATGCAGGCTGGAGGGTGTGCTTTGCTGAAAAAGCCCCTCCTACAGATGAAAGAGATAAAAAATGGCCATGCAGATTAATGGGATGTATGACATCATTTTGACCTAGCTCAGGAACCAGAAAGCAACCGTCGTCATGAAAAAAAAAGTTTAACATAAGGAAACATAATATAACTTCCTGTCTGTTTACTAATGCTAGCAGCATAAGGATTAAATTTAGTTCATGCTGATTGAGAGTGTTTAGTTCCACTTTTATTTTTTGGTGCATCTGCAGTTCTGGTTTCAATACAGCCGAGCATACATGGATCAAAATTCGTCCACAGCTGGCGGGGCTCATCAGTGTATTCTGATTGTGGAAAAGTTTCCCCACTGTCAGAATACAGAAGCATAACGGGAGGATTTACCCCATCCACTTTGAATGCGTAGATGGAGATGGAGGAATTGAGATATATATATATATATATATATATATATAATTTTTTGCCTGTGATGCAAACATGGACACTCTTATTCATGAGGCTCCCATAACGTAGTTACTGGATTCAAGGACCTGTTCAGGTTGCCGCACAGGAGCCTTTAGATATACTTTACGATGATAGCTACCATTCCCTTTAAAGCAGTAGTAAACACCTCTTGGACACTTGTAATACCTTGACGTATAATAACACTTAAGTGTAGGTACAAGGAGTATCTTCCTAAATGTGCACCGTTTAGGAGCTATTGAGTGTTTCTGCAGTCGGTGACCTTATACTCATGCCATCCCTTCAGAGCTCTATGCCACAGCCATGGCTCCTGTGCGCATGCGTGGGAGAGATATATCATTGCGGCTCGGCCATTAAAATCGCCAGAGCCCATGGACCCGGAGGGAAGACTGGGTGAAGAGGGAAGCCCTGCCAGCAGTGACAGCGGGCCTCTGGAGGGCTTCGTTTTAAGGCAAGTCTTTTATAATGTGCTACAATGGAATGCATACCAGCACATTATGATATTACTTTGCAGGTAGAATTCCCTCCCAAAATGTACTACCCCTTTAAGACTTGTATTAAAGTGTATACAAACCCAACACACCATCCAAGGGGGACAAATAGTTACATACTGTACTGTATCTATACAGTATCTATAGCAGCATTGCCACCCTAGAACAGGAATTGTGTTAGAACTACAGAACACATCCAAATTTCTGCATCTCTATAACATAAGGAGGTGTTCTATAGCCCAGCCAGCGAGGAGGGGGGGGGGGACTCAGGCAGGGCTAACAATACTGCTTGGTATTTCAGTACAGCAAAGGCAGCTTTGTCAGGTAGTTAGAACCACACTGCAGAAGGGAAAACAAAGAAACACAGCGCCTCTAAGTGTATACTCTGAAGGTATTTAATAAAAAGATAAGTAGTTTCTGATGTCAGATGCCACGTGCGCTGATCCCGGACATCTTGGAGACTCTGCCAAAGCTCCACCATCCATGCTGCATATGCACGGCACCATCTGCTGGCAGACACCTTGGAGATTCCACCAGGCTTACCATCCATGTTGCACATGCACAGCACCACCTGCTGATGGACTCAATCGATCTCCTCTCTGGATCAGACAAACAACATCATCTGGCTACAGACGTCTCACCCTCTTACTCATGAGCCTGTTTTTAAATTCTAAGATGTGAGTTACTACTTATCTTTTTATTAAATACATTCACATTACACACTTAGAGGCTCTGTGTTTCTTTGTTTTCCCTTCTGCAGAGTTATGCTTCGCTCCTACGCAGCTTGCCCTTAGTGCCTACTGGACTACCTTCACCCCTGCCCATTTGGAACTCATTAAACATAGATGGACTGCCACACCATGCGCCTGTTATCCCTTTAGTTAGAACCACACTGGATTTCTTTCGAGATCAGGTATTTTTGTGTACTTGCTGTGTTTTAAAATGACAAAATCTAGGCAAATGGGCATTTATTGGAGAAATGTAATGAATATATTTTTTGCATAGCTGAAGGGTGCCTTAAAGTTTTAAGGAAATCTGGAACTTTCTGATGCTTCGCAAATGCGTTTTAATAGTTTGCTGTACACGCTGCTCTACAAGATCACATGTAGAGGACCTAAGGGAATGTGGACATTTTCAGCTAGTTAGAGGCCCGTGGTGAGAAAAAAAATCCTTCCTCGTTATGGTTACTGACTATTTCTATCTGCCTAGATGATGGAAACGTCATGCAGACTCTGGAAAAAAGGTGAATATAGAATGAAACTGGTCCATCTGTTATGCACAGCCAGCGTAACACAGGTTTAGTTAGGGCTTGTAAAAATGGCAGGTCCGTTTTAACTCAATGTCATTTGCTATATTTTGAACAGATGAGGTTGAAAGTCAAGAAGAAGAAGACAGCTTGGGAAATGAAACTTGTGACAAACCTACAAAACATCAAAGTACCATTGCAGAACGCTTGCGTGTGAAATCCGAAGATAAAGTACAAGTAGTAGAACTTGTCGATGTGTCTACTGAGCCACTTCAATGTGTATCCATTGCTCTAAAGGATGAGGAGGGGGAAGAAGAGGAGGAGGAAGAAGAGGAAGAGGAGGAAGAAGATGAGGATGAGGACGATGAAGACGAAGATGAAGATGACCAAGCTTCTGACTTTGATGCACAAGAGGATTCTGTTACATCTGAAAGCTGGCCTAGAGAAATGAGAGCCAAATTGATTGAGAGCGACGATATTCAGGATGATATCGATGAAGATAACTTTCAAACCGTTTACATCTCTGACGATGGCACCACAGTCATAGGCGACAAACTGTCAGTGGTGACCTGCAGTGTATGCAGCGAAAATTTTGCAGCCAAACCTGAGAGTTCACAGGGATCAAAGCCAATTAAATGCATCAAATGTTCTATACTTGCAACTGGTCCTCAGAAACCAAAGAAGTGGACAAAGGAGGCCCTGCGGGAAGGCTTTTTGTACCTGCCTAAAAATTCCAACCGTGATGCAACTGAAGCCTTCACCATTAACAGCAAAGTCGTCATCAAGAAAATCGTTAGCGGGGATCAATCAGCTGAGAAGCCTCCCAGAGTTCCTCCTGGGGATAAGGTGCTGATGTGCGAAGAGTGCGGCCGATACTTCTCCCAGCAGGCTGCCTTGGATATCCATCGTAGAATCCATACTGGGGAAAAACCTTTTGTTTGCTTGAAGTGTGGTAAAGGCTTTAGAAGCAAAGGAAATCTTGTATCTCACCAAACTGTCCACACAGATGATAAGCAGTTCCAGTGTTCCATATGCGATAAATATTTTAAACGGAGCCTTGGCCTCATCGAGCACATGAGGCTTCATACTGGCGAGAAACCTTTCACTTGCCCTGACTGCGGCAAATGTTTTTCCCAACGTTCAGCCTTTAGCACCCACCAGAAGATCCATGCAGATGGCAAAGTGTTCACATGCTTTGACTGTGGCCGGTGCTTCAAAACTAAAGCTGACCTTCGGACACACGAACTGGTCCATTTGGGTGACAAGCCCTTTCAGTGTACAGAGTGCGGGGAGGGGTTTACAAGACGGGCCAACCTGCTTAGGCATCAACGCACGCATTCGGGGGTGAAGCCCTTCTCTTGCCCTGATTGTGGCAAGACTTTTACACGAAAGCTCGGCCTTCTAAAACATGAAAGGCTCCATATTCGAGAGAAAGCACAAGCCAGGTTTCGCGCAAGTATGGCTTTTGCGGCATCTCAAGCATCAGCTTGAACACGGATGTATATTAGGCAAAGTACCCTTTTAAATGACTTCTATGTCCATACCCTAAGTCCGTTCTAGGAAGATCTCGGGAGCCAGATACTGAGTTTGACATAAAAGGAAGAAAAAAAGCACCCAACTTTTTAATTCTTATTTATTGTTTTTTTTTTTTTATTGTCATTAAAGGCTTATGTCTTGTGGCTCCCTGATAGAAAAGATTGGATTGCCCAGCAGTGACTGCCCTTTGGGGACTTTAGGATGGGGATCTCTGTAGCTGAGTTCCCAGCTCTGCTCATCACATTTACGGTTTATTTACAAAGGGGGTCCCACTCCTGCAGCTTGATTTTTCATTTCTTACAAGCAGCGGGAAGAATGAAACTCCCTTGCTAAACAGAAGTGTTTCAGGGGTTTGGCTCTGGCTGCTTTGACCACAGAAGCCTGTAAAAGATATTGGACAGTACTAATTGTTCAGTTCATTTAACCACTTGAGTCCTGGGGCCTCTTGCTCCCTAATCCTCGTGAGTCCCTAAGTGTTGTTTTACGTTCCAGAGATGTCTCCGTTTTGCACCTTATACCATTTTATCATTTGTCGTTTACCTGCAACATATTATGTATTTCCTTTTGAGACAGATAGGGCTTTAATTTGGTAGCATATCTAGATACTATAATTTTTTATTTACTTAGTTTTTATGGAGAAGAAATGGTGAAAAATAGGAAAAATGCATTTTCTTAATCGTACAGTACAGTAGGCTACTTTCAAGTGGTTGAACACTGACAAAAAACTTGCTAGGGCCACCCCTATTGCATGCTCATATAAACTCACCCATTCCATGAGACTGCCATTTTTGGCTAGTGACCTCTCCTCTCTCAATCATTCCTTGTTTCTTCTGACACTTTTATCAAGATCTGAGTGCTTATTGTCCTGGGCTATCCAGCAGTTTCTAGGTTGGTAAACCTTGGTGTTATACCTTGGGGACCTCACTGTGTGGGACCAGCCTGCAATGTTTGCTTCAGGCACTAGATCCTGCGGTATGTGCGCATCCTGGCAAAAAGTGCAGTGTGCGTGGTTGGCCACAGGGTGCTATATGGTCTAGGATTGTGGTCCATCTCTATGGTTTCCAGACTCTGAAGACCCCTTCGGGTGTAAACCCACCATGGCATTTGAAGCCTGGACCACCTAACAAGCCCAGTGATGGATGAGATAAGACAGGGTTTCCCTGTATTTTAGACCAGTTTCTGGCTAATAGACACTACATGGTGCTTAGCACACAATGCAGAATACATAGGTAGAGGAATCAGGAGTTATTCACTTTGTGTTACTCCCTGTTATATTTGTCTGTAACATTTTTGGCACATAGGCAAATGTAACCACTTGCCCTCCAGAGGATTACCCCCCCCCCCCCCCCCTCATGACCAGGCCATTTTTTGCGATATGGTGCTGTTACTTTAACTGACAATCGTGTGGTCATGCAGCGTTGCACCCAAATTTAATTTTGTTTTCTCCACAACTGAAGCTTTCTCTCGGTGGTATTTGATCGCCTGTGCGGTTTTTATTTTTTTTGCGCTATAAACACAAAAAGACCGACAATTTTGAGAAGAATATTTTTGACTTTTTGCTATTAAACAGGTTCAGTAAAAAAATCAAATTTCGTCATAAATTTAGGCCAAAATGTACTCTGCTACTTGTCTTTGCTAAGAAAAAAAAAATCCCAAAATATGTAAATTAATTGGTTTACATGAAAGTGTCTACAAATGGTGGGATATATACTGGAATTTTATTTTTTATACTAGTAATGGCGGCAATCAGCGACTTATAGTGGGACAGCGGCGGGCATCCTGACAATGGTCTCTTCCCCATCAGTGTTCCTCAGCAAATGCCGGGTGCTGGCAGGGAATCACCGGCCAGGACCTGGTGATCGTCAGCTGAAGCCGCTCGCCCCCTTACCTGGAAATACAAAATCATGTATATTTACATGATGTTGCGCAGCCCTGCCGCCCTGTAGTAGTTCTGCTATAGGGTGGTCAGGAAGCGGTTAAACTTGTTTTTTTTTTTTTTTTCACTGTCCAGTCTCAGGATGATGACGTAGATGTGACGTGCCACATAGCTGACACACTTCCGCCTGCAATATCTATTGAAAAACACGCACAGTGAATTTTCCTGCTACAGGGAATTCTGCTACAGAGATACAGCCACAGGAACATTGTCAGTGCCTGGGTTATTGCTGATCCTGCAGCATGCACAAAATCCTATTTTTGCACATACCATTCTACGAGCATCCCATGGGGGATCCCTCACTTTAACAAAAGACGTTTCCCATCTGTGCACAAATTAAAAGTTCACTATGATTGACCTAATCACCTCAAACCTAATCCTGAAAAGACATTCACCGATCCCAAACGGTTTACTAAAATTTCTTAAAAGGAATTTAGGAAAAATGGGTATTCCAGTAGTACATCCTGCCACTTAATTCCTCAATAAACATCTTACAGTTCCTACTGAGGATGTTTTCCCTTCTAGGGATCCTGGTAATAGGCATTTAGAAGCCTCTTAAAGTCCTGCTTTGCAATTGCAGGTCCAGCCCTGCAGTGGGCAGTTGCTGCCATATCTATTTGCTGGACATGACAAGTGAGTAGAGAACATGAACCTGTCTTTGACCCTAGTTTGATGCCCAGTTGAGGAATCTTTTAATAAATTCATCAAGGAAGTTACTGGAGGAAAGGTGCTCCTATAAAAGAAAGCTCAAGTCTGGTACTTCTAAAGCTCCAATCTTTATTCAGGGAAAGGGGTCTTTTCGTATCAGTCTCCAGACCAAAGCTTAGTACTTACTTTTCTCCAAGCCTTGGACCCCTATGTTAACCAAGCCTTCCCAAAAGCCCTCTTCATAATGGAGGGGCTCTCCCACTGCTTGGAGTGAGAGATGTCTGTTGGCGTTTGTGCCATTCTGGATCCAAGAAATCCTGGATCACTGGGTAGAAAATAGAATTGATGTCTCTGCCCTTATCCTCCAATCTGGCAGCATTGTACCATTTCCTTCAGTGGAAAGATTCTGAGGTTTTTATTCAAATCCTCCCAAACCAACCCTATATTGGACCTAAAATCTCTAAACATTTCTTTGTATACCAAAATTTCTGGATTGATTTGGCAAGATCCATTATTGCTTCTCTTAGGCAAGGGTAATTTCCTGGCATCAGTAGATCTGATACAAGACAAGATACCTATCTGCACATCCCTGTCTTCCCCTCATATCAAAAATGTCTGCATTTTTCTGTAGAAGACCAACACTTCCAGTTTGTAGTAGTACTATTCAGGGTCTTTTTTCTTAACCCCGAGTGTTTACAAAAATGCTTGCCCAATTTCTTGCTTTTCTGTGGACCAAGGGCATTCATGGCACAGGGTAAAGACTACCTCCTGCTAAAGACTCCTCAGCCAAATCCATATCTGCCAACATCCAAAGCATGATTTAGTTCTTTCATTAACCTGCTGGTTAATCAAATCTCCAAACTCTGCCTTTCAGCCCTCTAGAATACATGGGTCTACTCTTGGACCCAATCCTACCCAACATTTTCCTTTCTCCAGAAAACATTGTCTTTTTAAGGTCCCACACTTGGTCCCTCAGATCCAAAGTTTTCCCCTGCATAGTGGTTCTGGGCCTAAAATTAGCCTCCTTTGATGCAGTTCCTTTTACCCTGTTTCACTCCAAGTCACTTCAACTCAACATCCTTATGCTGTGGAGCAAACAGATATGTTGCAACTATCCAGCTAGACAAATCTCTCTTTGGCATGGTGGATCTCCAACTGTCCAAAGGATGCCAGCCTTAGCAGCTGGGGCGAGTTTACAACTCCCTAACTGTCCATCGGACCTGATTCTCAGAGGAAGCAAGACTCCTCATTCTGAAACTGACAGCTATCTAATTAGCTCTGCAACACGGGAACTCCGTTCTGCAAGGTCACCCAGTCAGGATGCAGTCAGACAATGCCACAGTAGTGGCCTAGGCCAAAAAATAAACATCAAGGGGCAAGCAGCTTCAAAATCCTCTATTCTAGATGTACACTCACCGGCCACTTTATTAAGTACACCTGTTCAATTGCTTGGTAACACAAATTGCTAATCAGCCAATCACATGGCAGCAACTGAATGCATTTAAGCATCTAGACGTGGTGAAGACTACTTTCTGAAGTTCAAACTGAGCATCAGAATGGAGAAGAAAGGGAATTTAAGTGATTTTGAACGTTGCATGGTTGTTCGTGTCAGACGGGCTGGTCTGAGTATTTAAAAAATTGGTGGTCTACTGGCATTTTCATGCACAATCATCTCTAGGGTTTTCAGAGAATGGTCCGAAAAAGGAGAAATTATCCATTGAGTGGCAGTTGTGTGGAGGAAAATGCCTTGTTGATATCAGAGGTCAGAGAAGAATGGGCAGACTGGTTGCTGCAACATTCAGATGGTAGGGTCAGAATTTGGCATAAACAACATGAAAGCATGGATCCATCCTGCCTTATATCAACGGTTCAGGCTGGTGGTGTAATGGTGTGGGGGAGACTTTCTTGGCACTAGCAAGGTGTACCTAATAAAGTGGCCGGTGAGTGTATTTGTCAGCATATTTGTCGGGCTTATGGCTTTGAAGGAAGGGTCCTGCCGTTCCTTGTAACAGTCTACTTTACCAGGAGTGTTGGTGCTTCCTGGACTGATCAACATCATCCTTCTGTAGTTCAAGTTTACAAGGCTACTACCTGTTCTTCACTTCATACCCTTACTAAATTCAACCAGGTAGATGATTTTCAGGCCTCTGCGGATACAGCCTTCAGGTAGAGGATCTTGCAGATGGCTGTGTAAGGTTTTTGGGGCGTGTTGCCCTCCCCTCATAATCATTGCTTTTGGGAGATCTCTGTTGTCATGGATATGAAATTGAACTGTGTCCTATGATGTACGATCGCACCCCTCTTACAGTGTTTGTAGCTTGCAGCAAAACTGAGCAGGGAGGATTGCTGCTCTTTTTTGGCCAGGGTCCAATCACCTGAAGTGGGCAACATAACTATATTCTAATGGATATGAAGATGCACTGTATCCTGTGATGTTAACTGCCAATGCCTAGACTTTGGGGAGTGCTCTCTTCACCCCTAGATCCTCCAGACTCTGTGAAACGTGAGGGAAAACAGATGTGGACTTCCTGGTCTCTAGGTTCAACAACAAACAGATTTGTAGCCAGGACCAGGGATCCTCTGGCTATTGCAGTAGATGCCCTGGTGATCCTTTTAAGGCTGATCGTTTTACTAAAAAGTTGCATATCCTTGGAGAATTGGTACAGTACGTGCCATTTTTTTTTCTAAAGAAAACATGAGTGAGCAGGCAAAACTATTTCTTTTGTTTCTTAAGAGGTTCATATTCAACTGTAGGTCATAGCAGAATGGCACAATCCTAAAACAAAACATGGCAACAAGTAAACAAATGAAATGCCCCCTGTTCAAAAGTCTGCATACCCTTAATTCTTAATACTGTGTATTTCCCCCTTTAGCATCAAGACAGCCCTGAATTCTTGCAGGTGGTATAGGTGCCCATTCTTCTTGGAAAAATGCCTCCAGGTCATACAGTGTTTTGGGTCGTCTTGCATGAACCGCACATTTGAGATTTCCCCAGAGTGGCTAGAGGATATTAAAGTCAGGAGACTGTGATGGCCACTCCAGAACCTTCACCTTTTTTTGCTGTAACCACTGGAGGGTCAACTTGGCCTTGTGCTTTTGGTCATTGTCATTCTAGAAAGTCCAACAGTGTACTATGCGTGGCTTTTGTTCAGAAAAATGCTGATTGTTTTCCAGTATCTTCTGATAACATATAGCATTCATCTTGCCACCAATTTTCACAAGATTCCCTGTGCTTTTTTAGAGCTCATACACCCTCAAAACATCAGTAAGCCACCACCATGCTTCATAGTGGCAATGGTATTCTTGTCACTATAGTCCTTGTTGACCCCTCTGCAAACGTAGCGCTTATGGTTTTGACCATAAAGCTCCATATCTTTTTTTTTTATATCCTTTTTCTATCTTTATGAAGTTCCATTATCTTGTTACTCAGGTCTTTTGGCAGTTCTTTTCTGCTCCCCTTGGGTCAGTATCTAGTATCTTGGCTCAGTGCATCCATGTGAGAACTAACAATCTCATTGACTATTTATACGCAGACACTAATTGCAATTTAAAGAGCCAC